TTTTAACAAACAGAAGAGCTTGCAAACGGTGATATCATACACTTCAAATGTGTTGATACCTTTATTTTCAAATGGCCAAGGGTTTTCAGCTCATTTATAGATTCTCCTGAGAAAGGAAATTGACAAAAGTTTGGAGAACAAACTAAAACACAGGCTATCCATTGGTTTGCCTTCTGTGGCTCATATGAAAAGGAATAAAAAAAAAAACAAAGCACACAAAAAAAGCACAGTACATTTTTCTACTACATGGTAGACTCGACCACCACAATGCTAAATTTGAATATGTACAGCTAGATGGCTGGGCTAGTTCTACGTAAAAAAAAGCAAAGTGAAAAATAATGGTCATTATCTGGGTAATTAAGTCATCTAAATTCTCTTCTTCATTTCTACTCTTACCTTGATCAAATAAGACCACGAACAGAGAGAGAGAGAGAGAGAGAGAGAGAGAGAGAGAGAGAGAGAGAGAGAGAGAAAGAATCATTGCTTGCATTTAACCTAGAAACAATTGGTCTACGTTCATATTCAAATACTGGTGATTATTAACTTTTTAGCAATGTTCAAAAGCTGGAAAGCAGTTTATTAAACCTCTTTAAAGTTCACTTTATTTGTACAATGGGTAATGGGTAACTTTCAGGGTTGTGGTGAAGATTTATTCATGTATTAAGTAATTTATTTACACAAAATATTTATTGAATGTCTATTATATGTCACCATTGTGTTAACTAGATGCTAAAGGTACAAATGTGAACAAGATCCACATGTTCTACATTTTTCATGGAATTTTTATGGAAATGAAATGAAGTTTGTTTCTTTCTTTCTTTGTTTGTTTTAATATATGCCCTTGACTGAAATTGAACCTGGGACCCTTAGTCCGAAGGCCGATGCTCTATCCACTGAGCAAAACCAGCTAAGGCTAAAATGAAGTTTTTGGAAGTGAAATGAGATTGTATTTGTCAAGTGTTTGTATAGTGTATAGTAGATAGTTCATAGCACATGATCAATAAGTTAGAGTTACTATTATTTACAATTCACTTGGTCATTGTCAATCCTGCTCACAATTGCAGAGATAGGATTAAAATAATATCCTGGCTGTAACCGGTTTGGCTCAGTGGATAGAGCATCGACCTGTGGACTAAAAGGCCCCAGGTTCGATTTCAGTCAAGAGCATGTACCTTGGCTGCGGGCACATCCCTAGTAGGGGGGTGTGCAGAAGGCAGCTGATTGATGTTTCTCTCTCATTGATGTTTCTGACTATCCTCCCTTTCTCCCTGTAAAAAATCATTAAAATATATTTTTAAAAATATCCTGGCTGGAGGGCTTAAGAAATACAAATTGGTAGTACAAAATAGCCACAGTGAAAGCACAGCGAATATAGGCAATAATATTGAGGTAATTATGTATGATACCAGTCGGGTACTGGAAATGTAGTGGGGGAAACCATGTGAAGTCTATGATTGTCTAACCACTAAGCTGTAAACCTGAAACCAATGCAAAACAATATTGAGAGTAACTTGTATATAAATAAACAAAGGTCTTTCTGCTGTTGAATAGCCTAACATGGTTTTGTAGTGCCTTTTGTATTATCGATAGTTAGCATTACAGACATCCTGTGATCTGTCCTGCCTACTTTTCTATTTCTATCTCCTACTTTTTTCTTATTGGTTTATTTTCTTTCAGCCACATGAAGTTACCTAAATTTCCTGAAAACTCTGAGCCTTTTCAGAGCTCCCAGCCTTCAAACATCCGATGGTTGCTGTTCAAAATACTCTTCATCATTTTGTGTACTTAGTTGCTCTTGCAGCCTCACCCTCAGCACCACTCTTTTCTGAAGCTTGTCCTGCTCAGGGCCACGTAGTGCTTCCTTCTCTGACCCCCAAAAGCAATTCAGACACGGTTCTATTGATAGCCTTGTGATTAGCTAGTTATTAATATAGGAGAGGAGCAAAGGGAAGGCCAGATATTGTAGGCATGTCACGGGCAGGTCAGCAGGAAGCTGCAACCTCACACTCCTCAGGGAACCAGGGGCCTGTTCCCTGCAAAACACTGGGCGATGGGGGGTGGGGGGGGGTGGCGGGTGTCGTTATCCAACAAAAGAAAGATAGCGCGCTGAAACAAGTTTGGCTCAATGGATAGAGCGTTGGCTTGGGGACTGAAAGATCCCGGGTTCGATTCCGGTCAAGGGCATGTACCTTGGTTGCGGGCACATCCCCAGTAGGGAGTGTGCAAGAGGCAGCTGATCAATGACTCTCTCTCATCGATGTTTCTAACTATCTCTCTCCCTTCCTCTCTGTACAAAATCAATAAAATATACTTTAAAAAAAGAAAAAAGAAAAAAGATAACGCATGCCCAATAAAGTTGGGGTGACATAGGGAAGGTACTAGCCTGTCAGTCAAACCTGGGGAGAGAGATGATTGGTCAGAATGGACATGGCCACTGCAAGCATGTGAAAATTTGGGAATACATCATCTTCCCATTGGTCGGCAAATTCATTATTCAACAGAGCCAAATATCAACAGTACAACGATTGAAATTTCTTTTGAGAGCCAAATTTTTTAAACTTAAACTTCTTCCAACACCACTTCTTCAAAATAGACTCACCCAGGCCTTCGTGTTTTGCAGCATGTGGCTCAAGAGCCACAGTTTGCCAACCACTAGTCTAATGGACTGCAGTGTGGAACACAAGTTAAGCTGGATGGATGCTAGCATTGGGCATGGCTCCAATATGGAAAGGAAACTCAACACAAACTCTGATTTGAGCCCTACTGAAGCCCCAGCTGCACTTCTTCTATGACTGGATGGAGGGAAATGAGACTTCGGAAGCCCAAGGGTATAATTCCACAGAAACAAAGCTTTCTACTATATCATATCCTCTTGTGTGAGTCTCAGAAAATTCTTTTTCTTGGAATAACACAAGAAACCCCCCCCCCATTAAACCCCCTCCATTACCACTTTCAGATTTAACTATTTTCAACTACCCTGTTTCCCCGAAAATAAGACAGTGTCTTATATTAATTTTTTTCTCCCAAAGTTGCGCGAGATCTTATTTTCAGGGGATGTTTTATCTTTCCATGTGCTAGGTCTTATTTTCAGAGGATGTCTTATTTTCGGGGAAACACAGGTATTGACATAAATTGTCGTCAGCCGAGTTCACAGCCATGGGTGTTTATTATGTTAAAACGAACACAGCGAGCAAGTCATGTGTGGCATGATTGTGATTAATTCAAGTTCTGCACACCTGAGTTCCATTAAAAAATGTGACAACTTGTGTGATGATATATCCCTTTGCTCCAGCTTGAGACACAAAATAAGATCCCATCTCTTTACATTATTTAAATTAGTTAGCCAGCTTTCCCATTTGCCTTTAGGTCTTTTAGTTTTATTCTCTGGGGACTGAATCCAAAGATTCATTTCTCTTAAACTCCAATAAGGTGTCACTGTTCAAGTTAGAAGATGACGTCATTCCACCTGCAGCAGGCAGGGACAGTAGCCTGGGAGAGGATGCTCCAGTCCCCCGGGTCTTAGGAAGAAGAGGCTGAGCTGGCGCTCCCTGCACTTACCTTCACCTGAAAGCTCTAACTTCCAGATCTTGCCCTCAGGTTAGAGAGACAGGTCCAGAAGAACTAGCTCAGCCAGTTTCAAGGCTCAGCCATATATGGTTTCTAGGATTCGGTTTGGACTCTGCACCACCAGTCCTCTGCCTTCCCTCAGGGTCAGTCCCAGTTAAGAAAGCCCTCACGTTTTTTCTTGCCCCTCTGGCTTAAAATGGTGTTTGTTTACCAGAGGTACTCAAATAGCATTGAACCTCAACAGAGAAGAGAACAAGACTGATTACTTTGCTCCAGGCTGGCTCCTTAACTTCTTTTTTTTTTTTTTAAGACACTTTCTATTTTCTTTTTTTCTTTAAAAAAATGTATATATATGTATTTTATTGATTTTTTTTTTACAGAGAGGAAGAGAGAGGGATAGAGAGTCAGAAACATCAATGAGAAAGAAACATTGATCAGCAGCCTCCTGCATACCACCCACCTACTGGGTATGTGCCCACAACCAAGGTACATGCCCTTGACTGGAATTAAACCTCGGACCCTTGAGTCTGCAGGCCAACGCTTTATCCACTGAGCCAGGCAGGCTCCTTAACTCTTTAAAAATAGCAATTTAAGTTCTAACCTCCCCTGACACAGAGCCAAATATCAACAGTACAACGATTGAAACATTTCTACAGAATTAAAAGAGAAATGTTAAGTAGTTCTTTACCGAATTAGAAGGTTTATTCAAAATGACTTACCTAGCAGAGATGGAAGTTACTGGCAACTTTGGAGTAGTAACATCCTCTGCTTCTAAAGAAATTAACTTCTACCTCTTGGCAAACAATTGCACTAACATTTATAAAGCTGTATTTTATTTATCGATATTTTACTTTTAAAAATATATTTTTAATGATTTCAGAGAGGAAGGGAGAGAGAGAGAGATTAAAATATCAATGATGAAAGAGATTCATTGGCACGCTCCCTACTGAGGATTGAGCCCACAACCTGGGCATGTGCCCTTGACCTAAATCATACCTGGAACGCTTTAGTCTGCAGGCCGATGCTCTATCCACTGAGCCAAACCAGCTAGAGCTATAAAGCTTTCTTTGAAAATACGTTCACATTCATGTTCTCATCATAACATAACACAATTATGAATATGTTCTAAAATAAAGAGCTTTTTTATTTTTGTTACTCTGTCAGAACTTCACAAAGAGCTCCCAAGAAAGACTAAGCCAGGACCAGCTACATAATTTGTGAGGCCCATTGCAAAATGAAAATTCAGAGTTATTTGTTAAAAAATTATTAAGAATTTCGAGAAGGTGGCTGCAAAGCATTACAACAAGTGCAGGTCCGGTGTGACTGCGCACATTGCACACCCACGGTGCAGCCCCAAGCCAAGCCGATGAAGGTCACACAGAGGAGGAATAATTACAATCCAGGCATGACCCTGATGTCTTCTAGTGGCCAGCATGATACTTTATCTACAGCTGGGGTTGTTGCCTTCCAAGATTGTTCCATCAGGGCGGAATAAACTTCCATATTTTAAAAGAACACAAACAAGAAGTAGAGCTTTAACACATGAGTGGCATCTGAGAAGATTTTGGCCTCATCCTGTGAGTTCCTTAAAGAGATAATAATCGCGCCCCCATCTTCCTGGTCTAAGAGAATTGGTTCGACTTGTTCTTTCAGTCAGACTTTACCAAGGAAAAAAAGAAAACCAAGGGGTGTTAAGGCCTCGTTTCAGTGGCTAGAATTTGAAACAAAACATGGACTGGGACAGCCCCAGGTTTTCCTGAGAGGTGGAAGGTGCATACCCAGTTTTCTACCTGAACCTCTGATTTCACCCAGTGTGGTTGGGAGCATGCTCCTTGGGGCTACTCAATGGTTGAGGGTTGCTTTGCAGTCGGTTTTTAAAATATATTTTATTGATTTTTTACAGAGAGGAAGGGAGAGAGATAGAGAGCTAGAAAGTTCAATGAGAGAGAAACATAGACCAGCTGCCTCTTGCACACCCCCTACCGAGGATGTGCCCGCAACCACCTGGGACCTTTCAGTCCACAGACCAACGCTCTACCACTGAGCCAAACGGGCTTCGGCTGCAGTGGGTTTTTAATAGACTTGAGCCTTCAGTGTTTCAGATGATGTAAACTTAGGTAAGCAGAGACCCCTGAGAGGAGCGAGTGGTTTAGGCTCATTATCTGTTCAAATTTAGAAAGGCAGGGTATATTTTTGCTTTAAAACAACACCGATCCTTTTCAGACCCAATTCCCTTGAGACCAATTGTTAAGTTATTGAATAGTACCTGTCACATAGTTCAGGCTAACTCATTCTATATAAGCAGTCAGAGCAGTTAGAAAGAAAGTTCCATCAGGAAGGAGTTTCATTAACAATGGCATTGTCCACAATACAACAGGTATGTGGAGAAAGAATTAACAAGGACAACTCTGTGTCTTCTCTTCCTTGAGGTTTTCTTAAGAAGTAAATTGTCATCCTGATGCTAATGCAGTTGCATTGCTTGTCCATTGATTCTTCTTCTTCCTTTTTTTTTTTTGCCTTTGGCTCATGTGCAGAGGGAATGTGTAGGAATGTGGAAGTTTTAAGTGCAGGATTTAATATGAATTTGTAGTAAAAAACAGAGTCCTCTAAATATGTGAACCGGGTAATGTGCTGCCTTTGGGCACTGCACCATGTTTCCTGGGGAGAAGATTTAAGGTCCTGGAACGGGTTACCTCTTCCCCAGTGGCTGAGGGAAGTATTTATATTCATAGGTTTATATAAGTGAAGCAGAAGGGTAAGTTAGTTATCTGGGCTTTTTGCATACAATCCCATGCCTTTACTTTCTCAGGAGAAATCTTTTCCTCGTCAAATGTATTATTGAATGTGGTGTTCACCCTAACAGCGAAGGGAGGAAGGAGGAGAGGAAAATCACCTTCGATGAAGCTCGTTGTGTATCAGACATTGTGGTAAGGCTGTTCATATGTATTATTTAATATATTAAGATTCATGAACAGTTAATATTTAATAGACATTGAACAACTGAAAGAAATCAACAGCTTGGGTAAGAAAAAAAATTACTCAAGGAAAATAGAAAGAATCATTAGCAGGGAGAAAAAATACTTTTTAAAGTCCCTTAGAAGTTTACAAAGTGGTTGTTAAAGCAGAGGAATATTCAATATGGAAGCACTTACCAAATTTAATGATAAGGTAAAAAGAAATGAGATTATATTAGAAAATGCTTTATCACCATGATCATGGCCCTGAAAATTAATTACTTCCTTAGGGATTGCAGAAGACACTTTTATTTATTTATTTTTAAGTATATTTTTATTGATTTCAGAGAGGAAGAGAGAGGGATAGAAAGAAAAATAGAAACATCAAAGACGAGAAAGAATCCTTGATCGACTGTCTCCTGCATGCCCCCTACTGGGGATCGAGCCCAAAAACCAGGAATGTGCTTTTGACCAGAATTAAACCAAGGACCCTTCAGTCTGCAGGCTGACATTCTATCCACTGAGCCAAACCTGCTAGGGGACACTTTAATTTTAAAAATAGTAGAATAAAGTTTAGATATGGTATTTATTTATAAGCTCAATGGACAAGCAATTCATTATTTCCCAAATCTTTAATTTCCGTGCTTTTTGTTGAAATGTGACAGTAATGGGGAAAAGGCCAGATTTTCTATATAATTTTGTTGCAATCCATGTATCTGTGTATTTATATTCATAGGTTTAAAAATATAGAAAAATGATACTTGAAGAATGTAGTCTGAAATTATTGTCTTATGCACTTAGCTTTCACAATCAATCTGAAACATGTGAAAGATATGGCTGTTGAAAGGTTTAAACTGATGATGGATGTCACATGCAAGAAACATGCCAAAATGCACTATGGAGAATGATGAATGGAATTTACTTAAAAGCACTGTTTGATGAGCTCATTAAATAGTCATCTATAGCAAGTGTATGAGGAATACAAATGTATGCATCATATTATATGTTTCAAAGAATTTTATTACAGGTCTTAGAGTGGATTGGCTACCTTAAGTTCCTTAATGCTAAACGGGAAGGGAGTTCAGCTCTGAACCCTATGATTTGAAGGTTAGGACTGAGTAAGACTTTTTCAGAAGTGGAATTAATAAAATTAGCCACTAAGCCAGGAACACAAAGAAGTTTGTAATTAACTATTAAAATGTATTGTTGTTGTGGAAGTTGCTGTTAGCACAAAAATATTGTGTGTGTGTGTGTGTGTGTGTGTACACCATTTTAATTAAAATAAAATTATTTGTTATTTCTCTTAGCTGTTGTTTCCAAGAAGTAAAGGTGATTTAAAAATAAACCAACACAATTTTCTTTGGTTCTCCTATGCTTTTGAAGGACCATGCTGAAGGTGATATGAATCTTCCTTCTCATAAGACTGCATTTTCCCATCATTTTCTTCTGGGGTGATTTTTTTACTGGTCAGCTGGTGACTAACAAACAGGAAATGACAAGCAGCTGAAGAACATTGTACCAAGATGAGGGGGAGGAGGAGATTCCATGTCTCTCATTTTCTCCCACCTTTTATTTATTTTTTTCCTGGGAAGATACTAGGAGGAATAGGAGAGAAATGCTATATACATATTAAAAATCCCTATGGTAGCCGGGACCGGTTTGGCTCAATGGAAAGATCGTCGGCCTGCGGACTGAAAGGTCCCAGGTTCGATTCCGGTCAAGGGCATGTACCTTGGTTGCAGGCACATCCCCAGTAGGGGGTGTGCAAGAGGCAGCTGATCGATGATTCTCTCTCATCGATGTTTCTAACTCTCTGTCCCTCTCAATTCCTCTCTGTGTAAAATCAATAAAATATATTTAAAAAATAAATAAATAAAATAAAAATCCCTATGGTAGCTGCTGAGAAGAAATACGATTTGAGGATCAGTTGTACATGTTTTAGAAATTGTGGGATCACAATATTTTGGCAAAAGCATTTATGTTTTTCAGAAATAAGTCTGCTGTTTCTGTAAATAAGAGTTAAGGCATTAGTTGGCAGACCCCAAGTGCATTTTGGTAGCATTCCTATTATGTGGTTGTATCACCCTCATCCCTCCTTCTCCATCTTTAGTTCCAACACTAAAATAGGTCTGTCTTACAATTTGATCATTGGTTCTGCACAGGTGGGGATGTGACTCTAGAGCAGGAAGGAGAAAGAAGATAAAATTGCCTGGAATTCAACACTTAGAATCAGTTGGAGACAGCTTTTCATTTCAATCTGCATTCATTCTCCTGGAGCTAACTTGATTGCTTTCTTTATTTCTTTTTAAAGTCACTGCTTAAATTTGAGAACCAAGTGGGAAAGCTCCTTGGACTATTTGTGGCTAAAAGCACAGTTTTGGGGGACAACAACGAAACTAAAAACCCTCTCTTCTCCCACTCTGTCCTTTCTTCAAACAACCCCCCCCCACACACACACACACACACACACTTTTTTTTCTGTTGGGTTTCACAGACCCTGAGAGTGGCTTTCAAAGATCTTCAAAACTCCTTGTGCTTTTACTTCACCTTCTTCTGAGCTTGAAATAGGCTTTCCCCCCTTCTGCTCAAGTCCCCCACACCCATTGAGAGCCAGGTCAAAAGTTGCACCCTCACTGGGAACATGCTTGTCTACCCCAGCCTGAAATTTTCTTTTGATGTTTGACTTCACATTTTGCCTAGACCTTTTTGGTCAATTAATCATCACTGTTCCTTTTTTTTTTTTTTTTTTTTTTTTTTTAACCGGTGATACAGGGTCATTTTGTTTTTATGTGTTGATGTGTTTTGTCTCTTTAGTTGTTTTGTAGACTTTTTGCAGCCATGGACTAGTTTATGCTTTTTTGTTCCTTCCACTGTATCTTGTGCACTGTGGGCATTCAATAAACAGTTATGTGTGATGATGCTCTTAAATCACACAGGGTGAGCAGGACTTTCCGGTTTATCTCTTGGTAATTGGTCAGGTCTGATATGTGTGAAGTCACTGATGGCCAGGCACTTCCTGGAATATTAATAGTTATATCCCTTCCAGCATGGCTCAGTGATTGAGTGCTGTTAACCTATGAACCAGGAGTTCACAATTCAATTCCTGGTCAGGGTACATGTCCAGGCTATGGGCTCAATCCCCTGTGTGGGGTGTGCAAGAGGCAGCTGCACAATGTTTCTCTCTCATCATTGATGTTTTTATCTCCCTTTCCCTTCCCTTCTGAAATCAATAAAAAATATTAAAAAACAGTTATGCTTTGAGTTTAAAAGTGTTCTTATACATGCTGATTTTGTTTGCAAAATGAAGATACTGTGCCAAGACAAGGAGAGCACAAGCCACTTGTTTTCATGAAGTGGCAATGGCTTGCTTTCCTAAAGCTCCCCCACCATCTGCTCTTAGCTCTCCGAGTGACCACATGCAGGAACTTGTCAGGCTGTGATTGTTTCCTGTCGTTCATGGGGTTTTAGGGAGAGGCAGTATGGAGATAGCTCTTCACAGAGAAGTGAGGATACTACAGCTTTAGTGTTTGCCCACCTCTGATTGGCTGCTCTGGCTGGTGTGATGCTTAGCAAGCCTTCATGGTTGGCTGAAGAGGATGATCCTATCAGATCATTGGACATCCCTAAATGATTCTTCTTTCAAACAAGCATAGTGAAAATAATGGCACACATGAATAAAATGAAAATAATGGCACACATGAATAAAACTATTTTCAAACAATAACCTTCTGGTCCTAAAAATTGACAGACCCCAATCAAATTAAATATGATTACATGTTGTCTATCCATTTGAGATAGTAGATATCTATTTTTTCCTATGTGTACAAGGAGGATCAATTATAATAAGTTCAATAATAAACTTCTTCCATATCCACCTCTTCCTATTTTTCTACCTCCTCCTTCTCCTCCTTCTCCTTCTACTTTTCCACCTTCTCCTCCTCCTCCTCTTTCTTTTTAATTTCAGGCCCTGGCATGCAGAGCTTACTAAATGTTGCTGGTATAATCTGAATAAAGGACTGTATACACAATGATCATTTAAGCTCATTAGAATTCGATGACATTGAAAATAAATATTAAGATAAATAAATGAGAAAGATCATAACTAATATTTCAGCATAAATTATCTTCCTTGAGTCTTTTATGTCTTTCTTTAGTTTTTCTATAAAAAACTATATAAAATGTAGAATATTTTATCTATTATCTGACAAAATTCCCTGTGTTCCTGCTTTTTCTGAAGGAAACATTCAATTGCTCTGAATATGGAAATGGATCTTGCCCAGAAGACAAAAGGCCACTGGCTGTCAGAGTCGCCATGTATTCACTGATGGTGGGAGCCATATTCATCACGGTGTTTGGCAATCTTACCATGATAATTTCCATTTCCTACTTCAAGCAGCTTCACACGCCAACCAACTTCCTCATCCTCTCCATGGCGGTCACTGATTTCCTCCTGGGGTTCACCATCATGCCTTACAGTATGATCAGATCCGTGGAGAACTGCTGGTACTTTGGGCTTACGTTTTGCAAGATTCATTATAGCTTTGACCTGATGCTTAGCATAACGTCCATTTTCCACCTTTGCTCGGTGGCCATTGATCGATTTTATGCCATCTGTTACCCTCTCCGGTATTCCACCAAAATGACGATTCCAGTCATTAAAAGGTTGCTACTTGTCTGCTGGTCAGTCCCGGGAGCATTCGCATTCGGGGTGGTCTTCTCAGAAGCCTATGCGGATGGAATAGAGGGCTATGATATCTTGGTGGCTTGTTCCAGCTCCTGCCCAGTGATGTTCAATAAGTTATGGGGAACCACAATGTTTGTAGCAGGTTTCTTCACGCCTGGGTCTGTGATGGTGGGGATTTATGGCAAAATCTTTGCAGTATCCAGAAAACATGCTCATGCAATCAATAACTTACCAGAAAATCAAAATAATCAAATGAGGAAAGATAAAAAAGCAGCCAAAACTTTGGGCATAGTGATGGGTGTTTTCTTATTATGTTGGTTTCCCTGTTTCTTCACAATTTTATTGGATCCCTTTTTGAACTTCTCTACTCCTGTTGTTTTGTTTGATGCCTTGACATGGTTTGGCTATTTTAATTCTACATGTAATCCTTTAATATATGGCTTCTTCTATCCCTGGTTTCGCAGAGCACTTAAGTACATTTTGCTGGGTAAAGTTTTCAGTTCACATTTCTATAACACTAACTTATTTACTCAAAAAGAAATCGAATAGACTTGTTCTGCATGAGTGATTCAAATAAAAAGAAATGGAACTAAGAAGAATGAAGTCCCTTAAAGTGTGTGTACGTGTATGTATATGTGTATGTGTATGTGTATGTGTGAGTGAAAAACAACTGTATTTGTTATTCAGTGTCTTTTTAACTGTAACTTGAAACTCATTAATAACTCATGAAATTGATCTAGTGGTCAGCTGCAAGTGGTGTGCTGTTTGATGACTTTCTTGGTGTATATTAAAAATAATCTTCACTTAGCTAATTTCAAGCTATGAATGTAATGTCAGATGCCTCTCAAAACTTTTGAAAAGTTAACCTATTATTACAAGTGATTATGAGTGGTTCCAGAATACTCCTGGCTGCAGATAACATTTTTAATTAAAAGCAAACTAGAATAGAAGAAAATAGATAATCTCAAATATATCACTTGCACTGAGAGTTAATATTGCCTTATACGTTTTTAATATTACTTATATATTACACGAAATCTATGCAAGAGTTGTCATTCCTTCCCCCTGCTGTGGGCACTGGCTTCCCTTCAGCACCTAGGACCCGAGCTTCCTTCTGTCAACAGGCACCCAGGACCTACGCTTCCTTTGCAGCCCTGGCTTCATCTTGAAGGTCATCTGATCTAAATAGCATATTACACTTTTATTATTATAGATATACTAGAGGCCGGGTGCACAAATTTGTGCACCAGTGTGGTCCGTTGGCCTGGCCTGCAGGTTCAGGCCAAAACCAGTTTTCCAACATCCTCCAAGAGAACCCAGATTGTGAGAGGTTGCAGGCCAGGCCAAGGGACCCCATCAGTGCATGATCAGGGCTGGGGAGGGACATGGAGGTTGGCCAACCAGGAAGGGACCACGGGAGGGCTCCAGGGCATGTCTGGCCCATCTTGCTCAGTCCTGATCTTGCCAGACTCCAGCAACAAGCTAATCTACTGGCCCCCTGATGGTCAGTGCACATCATAGCAAGCAGTTGAGCATCCTTAGCATATCATTAACATATTATGCTTTGGTTGAACAATTGAATGGATGACCAGGCGTTTAACATATTAAGCTTTTATTATATAGGAATATGTTTTGTGTATGTGTTTTTGCATATGTAAGTAAACTATTTCACCAAAATACTTTTTGTTTAATTTCTTCATTTACAACATTTCAATGAACAAATTGATTTTTTGTCTTTGTGGAAAACTCTACACAATTGCCCACAAATTTGCTTTGGCCTTAGTCCATTGCACAGATCATAACTAAACAGTGATCATTCAACTGTCAGTTTACCTGCTAGTCTTGCCCAGCTGCCCCTAATGGGCCTGCACATGATGTCTAGTGCCTTCCATCAGTCCCTTCCCTATAGCTTGTAGGGTAGTGGTGGAATAGTAGAGCTTTTTTGAAATGGTGAAAAAGATTATAAGTACATTCTCTTGAAAAGGAGAATTTTCAAGAACAGAGAAATTAAAGCCAGATACTTTTATGAGATTTAATAAGGTTTATTGGCTACTATTGAATATTCTTCATAGTAATTTTTCTTAAGAAAATGGTTGTGTTTTGGAATTTAAACATACACACAAAGATTTTTTTGTTTTTATTTTAAGAGGCCAATTACTAAGAAATGAGTAAAATCACTTGGCTGAAGTGGTTCAATGGTTGAGCATTGACCAATGAACTAGGAGGTCATGGTTTGATTCCTGGTCAGGGCACATGCCTGGATTGCAGGCTCAATCAATGATAGGGGGCTATGCAGGAGGTAGTTGACCAATGATTCTCTATCATTATTGGTGTTTCTATCTTTCTCTCCATCTCCCTTTTTTTCTGAACTCAATAAAAAAAATATTAAAAAAAAAGAAGTGAGTAAAATAGATTTTAGCCTTACTATAAAATAGAATTATTTTGAATTAATGTTTATTAAATTTATCCCTTAAGTCATTAATATTTATTTTTTAAAATATATTTTATTGATTTTTCACAGAGAGGAAAAGAGAGGGATAGAGAGTTAGAAACATCAATCAGCTGCCTCTTGCATATCCCCTCCTGGAGATGTGCCTGCAACCAAGATACATGCCCTTGACTGGAATCAAACCTGAGACCTTTCAGTCCGTAGGCCGATGTTCTATCCACTGAGACAAACCGATTTCGGCTAATACATGATTTTAGAAAATAAAGCTAAGTAGCTTGGTGTAAGGTTGCCTGCTGACATTTATTGGAAAGGAGTTTATGGCTGTCCTTTTTACAGAATGATGATATTTATGATGTGGTTATTGTTTGTGCTGGTGCTTACAGATGAAATAAAAAATTGACAGTCCTATGTGGACCATAATGTGTTTTATGATTTTTCTCTTCTTGCATTTGAATTCTATTTGTACTTTAAAGCATCATTCAAACAGCCCCTCAATAGAGCTGCACATTTTCTCTGTACCTTTTCATGGCACTTTTTAGTTTCATAGTGTAGTGGCCCTGCTTGTCTGCTAGTGAAAGAATGATCCTGCCTCCTATGAGCTCTCTGCCTTCCATCACTCACCCTGCTTTCGTCTCCCAGAGTCAGTCATGTCTCCCCTCCACATTCAGAATTGTACAGGAAGTTAGCGACGTCGACAATGAACCTGGGGAGATCAGTGAGTTGTCCTGCATTATACAGCTAACTCTGGAAGCAGAACGAGAGCTAAGCTCTCTTTGTCTCAACCAGTGTCATTTACTGAACTAGTATTTTTTAAGATTTGTGACTCTTGTGCTTCTTGTTTCCACTTTTTTCTTTTTTTTTAAACTAAGGATTTTAGTCAAACTGGTACAAATCTGAGGCAAAAATAAATACCCCCCCCCCATCACAAAATATTCACATTATATTTGGAAATCAAAGTATAAACAGAAATCTCTTATTCCTCATTTGGCTGTTAGCCAACATTTGATTCGGTATATATTTTTAATATGCAGAAGTTTCAGCACCTTATCATCCTAGGGTGAAACCCAAGAGACTATGAAATCACTATAAATTGTCCTTCATTTGGAAAAAACAAAAACAAAAACAAACTGAAAACTATCTGGGACATTAAAAATACAAAGAGCATTTCAATATCTCCCAGGAAAGAGAGTTAAAAGAGCAATTCCGCTGGGGCTCTGCACTTAGTTCCGCTCTGGAGCTCCTGAGTCTGAGTTCCTGATCCAGGTCTCTAGAGAGCACGGGCAAACTTACATGAAGCAGGCGTCTCACTGCTCATCACTGCACTTCTTGGAATTTCCTGAGCGCGTGCCTGCAAAGCCACCAGGACAGATGCAATGATTCACAGCGAGCTTTTCAGGAGAGGGAAGGTACTGGGGTCAATAAAAAAGAATTGAAAACGGACTATTCTTTTAAAAAATTCTTAATTTATTCTCTTCTTAAAAGTAATTGAACAATGATAATTAAAATTTAAAGAGGATCAGAAATCGTTACAAGTAGGATGCAATAGAGAAGGGAGGTGGTTTTTTTCTTAATCGGAAAATAATTATTATCATATTTGGGTGAAAGGTCTTACATTTTCCATCAAAATTCCATTGGCAATTTTGTAAATGTCTACATAGTGACAATATAAAATGTTTTTTGCAATGTACAAGAACAGTAAGTGAAAGGTACTTATGAATTTAATAATGTTTAAGTGCACTTTTCTATTTGATATTATATCTTAATTTAAAAATCTCATTATGTACTACTCCATTCACTGTCAGATACTACATATTTTGGTTTGGAGATTTTTTTCTCTTGCAAGCAGCACTGACTTGAAATATTCTGCTTCTCTTTGATCAGGTTAATCACTCATTTCAGATGGAAAGAGTCCCCAAACTGAAAATTAAATTTCTCTACTGTCATGAACTGTTCTTGACTTTAATGGACATACAAATAATGTAGACATCTTGCTAAAAAGTACATTTTGCAATGGGCCTGAGATTTTACATTTCCAAAAATGTCCCCTGTAGATGATGATATGGACCAGATGTTCATTAGCAAGGACTAGATGGGAGAAACTACAAGCAGGTGATGCCACAGATGTTCTCATGCCCACGTGGATCAGAAGTGAATTGCTGCCCAGTGTCAGAGATGGGAAGGGGTGTTGGGGGCTTCACTGGAACAGAAGCCAAAAGACACAGATTATAACGTTGGTTTCAGCGTTTAGTAGCAATAGTTACCTCGCGATCTTACTTATTTTATATACATGGAACAGTTGGGAGGACACAGTGAAATGTGCCTCTCGAGTAATTTTAGAAACTGTAAGACACCCAGAATTTTATTGTTGACTAGGTGTCATTTAAAATGCTGTCTGTTTAAAAGAAAACGGATTAGCTACTTTCTAAGTAGCATTTACTCTTTCCTTAACATTGTTATCTTTCCCAACCAGGTGTCTCTAATACCGTGACACTAAATACCTATTAACCAGGTTACATGGTGTGTTGGAATGAATTTCTTTCCATTTGCTTCAACTGTTCTATGTTAAATGTTTCAGAGGTTACATGGTTGGTGATATGTTATCTCAGTAATGATAAATTTCTTGAGAAATTTCTGGCTAAGATAAGGCATATTTTAAAAATGCTGTGTCAGACAAAAGAAACAAAGGCATTTTAAATCAGTGCCAGTTTTAAGATGAGGAAGTGAAAGATCTCTAAGAGCTTTGGCCACCCCAAGAGTCTATAATATTATGAGATTAACTCCAACTGGAAGAGTAAAAAAAATTTTTCTGGAAAAAAATGATATGGGGCCGGGACCAGTTTGGCTCAATGGATAGAGCGTCGGCTTGGGGACTGAAGGGTCCCGGGTTCGATTCCGGTCAAGGGCATGTACCTTGGTTGCGGGCATATCCCCAGTAGGGGGTGTGAAAGAGGCAGCTGATCAATGACTCTCTCTCATTGATGTTTCTAACTCTTTATCCCTCTCCCTTCCTCTCTGTACAAAAATCAATAAAATATATATTTTTTAAAAAATGATATGGGAACTGAGCCTTGAAGTGGTCACAGACGAAAGGATTGGCAAT